TGTTTGACCGGCGTGATGTCGTCCAGCACGAGGAGCAGCCCGGACGTCGTCGCGAGCGCGGTGCCGGATTCTGACGGTTCCTCGGAACGATTCGGCGGCGACGTGGCCACGGCCGCGGCCGCGGCTGACGCCACTTTGCCCGTACTGCCGGGCTTCGACCTGACTGCAACGCAGATGGTGCGGTAGTGGACATGGTGCGCTTGTCCCCGGATAGTGAGGACCGCATTGGGCCGGAAGATGCTTTGCCCGTCGGCGAGCGAGGTGGCCAAATCAGTAATGAGCAAAGGGTTGTCGCCGAGCCACTGACTGTACGGGATCATGGATAATCGGCCGAGCGCGGTCTCGTCCAATCCCAGCCGGTCGGCGCCGGTCGCCTTCACCAAGCAGCCCCGCTGATCCAGCACAAGCACGACACTGCCGGCCGCATCGGCCATCAGCTGGTTTGTGGCTGCGTTCCACGTCGTCTGCGCCAGCTCCTCCTGCAGCGCGCTATACAACAACGAGCGCTCAATCGCGGCGGCGGCCAATGCGGTAAAAGCGCCCAAGAGACTTTCGTCTTCCTTCTTGAAACGCGTGCCCTCCGGAAGCTTATTGATGACCTGGCAGACGCCCATAATCTGCCCGCTGGCGTCGCGCAGCGCCATGCACAGGATGGTGCGCGTACGGAACCCCGTGCGTGCATCCACGGAGCGGTCGAACCGCTTATCATTGTACGCGTCCGGAATGTTCAGCGTGGTTCCCGTTTGGGCCACGTGACCCGCGATTCCCGCGGTCATGGGAATCCGGATCTGCACCGACCCGCCAGCCACCGTCGACCAGAGCTGCTGCTGCTCGCGATCGAGGAGGAACAGCGTCGACCGCTCGGCCTGGAGCAGCTCTTTCGCGGTCTGCATCACGGCGGTGAGCATGCCGCCCGTGTCCATATCGGACGACATCAGGTTCGCGGTGCCCAACAGCATCTGGATGTTGGCGCCATTGGACTTGGAGGCGCCGGAGACCTCGTTAGACGTTTCAGCAATAAAGGCATCGGACGACCCAACGAGGGTTCGCCACAACCGCGCTACCAACCCGATGAGGAGCTCGTCCTCAGCGTCAAACCGCGGTGCCGATACGTCGTCTGCCTTGTTGATGACCTCGAGCATCCCGACGACGCGGGCTGTATCTTCGTCCCATACCGGCACCGCCAGCAGCATGCGCGGCTCGGTCATTTCATAGACCATATCGAGCTCTAATGGCCAGCTCTCACTCATCAGATGGATATTGAACGTGTTGGCCACGTGGTTGCTGCGCACGGCGTTGCTGCCAAACAAGCGGTTGCTCGGAAAGCTGGCCTTTTCTTCCTGCCAATTGCTGTCCAACACGATCCAGTTGTCGGTCATCTCGTCATACACGTAGATGGTGCCCCACTTGGCCTGCGTCATGTCCAACATGGCCTGGAGCAGCACTGAGGCGCTGCGCGAGGGATCTTTCGAGGCGGACGCCAGGCTGCGCAGCAAAACGTGAAGCTTGTTGCAGCGCTCGGTGAGGAAGTGGTTCATCACCTCGCTCGGCGACGTCGACGGTGGCAACGCCTGGGTCGGCGCGGCCTGGTGGTACTCGCCGCCCGGATTGATCAGCCGCAGATACATACTCGTGTTGAACGGCAGCTTTGCGGCGGCCTCCCCGGCAGCCTCCATCCGCCCGACGTCCGCCGGCCCGCCCCGGTGCTGGAGCTTAGTGTACGTCGTAGCCAGGGCTAACCCCGCCGGCGTCTCGGGCACAGCCGGCGGCCCCACGGTCCGGCCCATAACATGCGTCTTGAGGAGATCGAGCTGTTTGGAGGAGCTGCGCACCACCAGGCCTTTGAGGAGCTGTGCGCGCTCGCTGTCGGTGAGCAGCGCATACGCGGCCAGCATATTCTGGATCTGGACAAAGCTGTCGGCCGCATTGGATGCGGGCGCCACCACAGGCGCCGCCGGTGCCGCAGCCGCCACTGATTCCTCAAACGGGGACACCGGCGGCGCTAAGTGCAGCCTCAGTGTCCTCGCGTCGTGCACGCCCGGCCTTCCTCGGCCCTCGGCAGTCGGCGGCGCGTCATCCTGACGGCTCGGGCCGAGCTTCGTGGACGTTCGCGCATTGCCCTGGCTCGACGGTAGCATCGGGGGCTCGAAGAGCCCGACCGTCGCGCGTTTCGGCGACAGCGACGTGGCGGATGGGATGGCTGGGATGGGCGTACTGGGGTTGACGCGGGGCGCTGACCCGAGCCTGGTGGGGCCGCCCCAAGATCCGGGTTTCATGGCTAGCGCCTATCGGCAGTTGACATTCGATTATCGTTGATCGACAATAGACAATCGACAATCGCGGACCGGACCGGACCGGACCGGAGCAGATGGTAGCCAAGACCGGGAAGAGTGTGCAGCGTGTGATGAGTTTGGGTCAAGGTAGGGTGAGTTGGGGGGGATCAGCGGGAGACAGGATGTCTTGGGCCGGCCATCGACTTCCGTGACCGCATACCGCGGCCGTCGGATCCGACGTAATGTGGCGGAATCGTGGCGTCCACGTGATATGTATGACGAGTACGACAGAATGTATCATACCGCTGTGAATGACTTTCGTGCCATCAAATGATCGCGAAGATATGTGCTAATAACGCCGCCGCCGGGCCTGCCGTGCAGATCGGCCTTCGCAGCCCCCGCTGCCCCATGTGCGCAGGTGTGCTGAGGGGCGGAGCGGAGACGGAGATTGAAGGGTTATCCCAGCGGGCCGGTGATCCTCCGCTCCCACAGGGCTATGACTCCACCTCCGGCGCCTTGCTGGACGTCTATGTCGCGGCTTAAAGTCTACAAAGTGGGCCTGTACACGATGACGCTGTCAATATGTCTCATAAATTTATTAATAAATTTGTTGTCGTATAAGAGCTGCCGGCCCAGAAGACGCGAGATTTAAAGCAGTGAAAGCTTGCTCAAAGCTTACTCACATTGAAGGTGAAACCTTGCTTCTTCAAGCGGTCCACCAGCACGTTGCCGAATGCGGCAGAGGCCGTGATCACACCAGACTGCTTAAGCGGGATGGGGCCCTCATAGGACTTGAGCTTATCCGTTTCCAGCGCCAGCAACAGACCCACTTCGCCCAGGATCTTAGCGGTCTGCGAGTAACCGGGGTCGCCGTTGACGTTAAGCTCGGTGACGTAGCGAACTTCAGTATCGGGTGACGAGCCGATGGTGCGGGACGAGTATCCCCCGCTGCGCTGCGCCTCCTCCGACGGCCCGCTGCCCGGCGGCATAAGATAGGACAGCAGCGGCCGCAGGATGCTGCTGCCCGATGTGACGGCGAAGGCGAGAATAAACAGGTTGTTGATGATCGCCTGCAGCAGGCTCGGAGTGCGCCGATACGCGCTCCATTGGAACTTAGACCCATAGTTGTTGAGGAAGGCCGAGCGAAAGACGAGGGGCAGATCGATACTCTCCATGACGTACAAGCTGTTCCAGCCACCCAGAATCGGGTCGCGGGAAAGCATCGATTGCTGCGGCTTGGCCACCGCCTGGATGTTCGTGCGCTCCTTCTCGGTCAGGTAGCCATAAGGCCCCGAGGGCTTCACCCCCGCAATCGATGCGATCGTACCGCCAGACATCGACGCCTTGAGCTTATGCACTGAGCAGCGGGTCGCGCCAAGCTCTTGGCCGTTCTTGCGGTACTCCTCAGCCAGCAGGTACACCGCGAGATCCGACGGGACGCTGTCGAATCCGGCCTGGGGAATGATACGCGTACCGTTGCGCTCCGCCTCTTCATGCAGCGTGCTGACGACATGCTTGTAGAACTCACCCTCGCCCGTCAGATCCGCATAGTGGGTGTTCTGGTCCACACAGGCCTTGACCAGATGGTATCCATACTTGGCGTAAGGCCCCGCGGTACTGATCACGGCGACCGTCTGCTCTGCTAGGCGCTCCATGTCTTTCTGGTTGAGTGAGTCGCCCACAATGAAACCGCACTTGTCCTTGACGGGGCCCGCCGCCATGGACGCATGCACCATCTTGAGCTTATCCAGACTACGTCCGGCAAGCGCCAGGCGGAGATGCTCGGGCGCCTCGCGCGCCAGGTGCTTGGCGACGAGCTGGCCGGTAAACCCGGTTGCGCCCCTATGTCAACGAGAATTCAGCACAACATTAATGATTCCCATTCACAACGCGACGATGCATAGGGTGTCATACGGTGGCGACGGAATCAAAATCAAAATCAAAATCAAAATCAATCAATCAATCAAAAAAGACATTAGAGGTGAGCGCGACGACCAAGAGTCTGTTCGAAACCTAGGCAGCAGGCGCGCAGCTAAACGTGGCGAAGAACACACGCCACAGCATATTCTCGCTGAGCATCATGAAGTGGAAGCTTACATGACTAAAGATAACAAAAGACCGCAGACATAAAGAAAAAAAAAACGAAAAAAAGGGCGAGCTCGTAAACTACATGTTTGTCGTGTTTGATAAAAGTGCAGCAGAAAACTTAACAGCAGAAAACCTACGGACGAGGTCGTATGAGCGACTCATGATGTTATCGAGGTTGTGAAATTGTGCGATTGAGCAATTCGTCGTCTGAAGTGTTTTGAAAAAAAAGTGACAAGAGTAAGCTAGAGAAAGCAAAGAGCCAAAGTGATAGAAGGGCAGCGGCGAGTTCAGTCCACAAGCAAGCTATTGAAATCATACGGACAGTGCATGTGCAAAAACGCGAATCGACTCAGTATCGACAAAGCAAGTATCGCATTCAAGGTATTCTAGCATCCAGCTTGTTTTCTTATCGCATGGCTGTCGCTCGACAAGCCGTCATCAACCTCACGGAGTGTAGCCATCGTGGGCTCGTGTCAACTAGGATTCAGAAGGAGCTCCGCCGCAGCGACGCCGTGTCCACTTTGCGGCGTGGCCATCACGCCCGAGGCTTTCGAGAAAGCTGGGTCGCCACGCGTCCGGCACGGACCCCTTATCCTTTCACGCGTCAAAACGGACATGATTGGTAAAAACAAAATAGCTCTCCTCAGGGAAGGCTCGAACTTCCAACCTCTCGGTAACAGCTATAGCTTAACAGCCGAACGCGCTAGCCAATTGCGCCACTGAGGAATGCGATGTTGTGACGGACTCGCTCCGTCACAGGCTTCCTTGAAGATCCTGACGACTCGGCGGACTTCAACGGACGATGGCGCGTGACTTAGCCGATCGATA